GAGACTATAGATACTGAACTTGAGATAGAACAAAGAAACATGTATAACACTACAGGGATACTTGTAAATATTTCAGTGGCCTCCTGCATTCAAGACAGACGGAACAGAAATCTTTCAGTCCAGTCTTGACTTCACAAGGACTGGCAGATTTTGAATCTAAGATGCTATCTAAGTTCATTGTTGAAAAAAGAGACATTACTGTTATTTTTTATTTACCAGATGGATGAGAAGAGTGAACTACAGCTGCTTTCTTATCATTCTGCATGTCTGAACAGGAAATAAGGCGGGTAAATCTCATCTGATCCCAAAGAATGAATCAGGTCAGGACATTTTTGTGCTCATGTGGGGGTTGGGGGGTGGAAAAGGAAGAGATATTTCTGCTCTCCTTTCCCATAAGAGTGAAACCCAGAAACACGCTCCATTTTTATAGTCAGAGTTTTTGCTTGTTCAGTTTTTCATAGGATTATTGAAGAACAAGCAATTCTAGTTACTTATATGGCTCCTACAGGAGCCTCTGCCAAATTTTTTAACGTCCAAATAATATTAACATTACCCTCTCCCTTTCTTCCTTCCCAGACAGCAAAAGAAATAGGCTGATCAGTGTATGTGGACATGTGTGGGTGGGTAGGGATGAAGCCAAAGGAAGCAACAGTTAGCTCCTAGCCCTGAATGCTTTGGTTGCTTTATTCAGTGAACTAAATAACCTTGGTCTGTCTTCTGTGAAATTTTAGTCTTCTGTCCTCATGAACTTCCCGTTACCAGTAATCTTTTCTCATTGTTTCAGCCAAACACAGCTGTTCTGGGAAGTCCTGGCCAAACATAGAGTCAGTCTTTAAGGTAACTTAGTGATATCCCATAGAGAGTGCTGAATATTGGAGCTGAAGGCTTGAGCTAGGCTCATTTTATGCAGCAAGCAGAAATGGAGAGTGATGAGTTCCCATTGAACTGTACTGCTGACCCCAAGTGCTCCTGTATTTATACCCAGATTATGATTTTTCTGGGACGCTGACTTTCATTTTGAAGTCTGATGGCTTACAAGGAGTAACTTCGAGGATCACAACTCCATAAACTGTGGCTATGAGGTTGTGTCTGGTTACTAATCTCTGTAATAAATTGCAATAGTTTAAAGATTTTCCACCAACAACAGAATACAGTGGCTAAAAAAAACCCACAATGTACCAACCAACCAACGAGCCAAACAAACCCCACAGCTCACCAATGAGAGACCTCTCCTTATGGTAGTAGCTAATGTGGAGACAGGCTCGCATTCTGTAGGACGCTGCAAGTGGAAGAAGAATTATGGTCTCACCCTCTGGATTTGGTCAGGGAGGCAGCATCAGGGCCTTTTCATGGTGTTTAATTTCAGTTCTGAGCAGAGTCTTCAGGCACTGGAATACTGTGCAACCAATTGTCCCAGAGTGCAGAGTGACACCCGTCAGGTTGAACGTACAGATGTGCTCCACGTTCATGGGCAGCAGAAAGTCACTGGAAGTCATCATGTAGGATGGAAAAGGGAGTTTCTAAAATGAACCCTGGTCCAAAACATTGGACAAAACATGTAAGAAAATAGCTGTGAGCTGGCATGGGAACCTTCCTCCCCCACAGGAGACTGACATTAGCTGTAAGCTTCAGACAGTGGTTTCAACAATAGTCCTAAGACTATACACATAGATTCTCCTTGTTAGAAGTTTCAATTAGAACAAATAAGTATTCTCGCACTAGAAACTTTTGTTTTAGCACAAAGCTGTAATGCTGGGGACAAAATTCTTCTCAGGGGAAAGGTGGAAACAGATTTCAAAGATATGTCTTTAACTATTTTTGGGAAACAAACGGCTCTTACTTATTATGAAATTACTCTTTCCTCCCTACCCCACCACTGAAATGGAAATTGCTCATTTCAGTTATTTTGAAAAAAAAAAGTTTGATTGCTGTGAAACTAGATTTCTTCTGTTTATGTGCTCCCTCTTTATTTTAATCTTTGGAAGTTTTTAAATCTAGTTTTGAAATGTTTAAATCTGTGTTTTTCTCAGGTTGAACTAGTTTTTGAACTAGTTTTAGGGTTAATTTTGGGTAGCTTAGTGAGTTCGCTGCCAGAGCTAACACACATTCAGGTATGTATATCAAGTTCTTTAAATGTCTGAAATGTGTTCCATTTATTTTTATTTCATAGTCTTTTGACTAGCTCCTGTGTTTAAAAAACAGCTGCCTTTCTAAAGCTTAGTGTCAGTATGCTAGTTTTCAGCACGATTTATTCCATGAGGTTGTTGACTTTAATTATATTGTGGATACTCGGACACTGTTACTTAGTGGCTCAATTATACTTGCTTCTTGGATCTGTTCCTAGGTATTACTTAGGACTAAATGAAAAAAGTAAAAATAAAGTCTTGTTTTCTCATGTGCTGTAGAACCAGTTGTTCCAAAAAGCACTTGTTTATCGTGTTGAGAAATCTCTTCCTAAGCCATAGACCATGTGGTGGTTGACTAACTTACATCCTTGAAAACACAGGAGCGAGCTCGGAAAGGGCTGTCCAGATTGGTGAGTCCAGTTGCTTGATACCCTGGGCAACCTGGGTTTGGAAACCCTGCTCTGTCACAGAGCTGATAGGGTTTATTCCCTTGCCACAGCGCTCAGCGACTCTGCTGAAGCCTTCCTGGCATGAACTGGGCACTTAGCAAGGGACACACGGATATGGATTATAGCCCTAAAGACACAGAGGCTGGAGATGGGACGACTTTTAATCATGAGAGCTGTGGGCTCTGAAACAGCCCCTGGAGGAGTACTGGAAACTTAATTGCTAGTCCATTGTCTGGCTGGAAAAGCCTTATGGACAATGCAGGGAAGGAGAGGCTTGATGTCTCCCTTAGGCTATGGTGAAAATGTCTATCATTTTGGGGATGACTGCAAGTCACCTCACCTTGTTAGTCCTCATCTAAGTCACTTCCCACAGGCATTATTATTCCATGAATATGAGTGACCTGGGCCATACAGAGGAATCCTGCTGTGGTCTCACTGGTATCTTATCCAGCAGCACTAATAGGTGCCCGTCTCCGCTGGCACATTCTTAGTAGACATCTCAGAGTCAATATGCTGTGATAACCTTTATGATCGTTGGTTCATAACTGTTCCTTTTGTTCCCCATTCACTTCCAGTTGATGAGCTCTTAATTTATGGCAGAATTCTTACTGCTGATGCCCATGGAAGACCTTGCCTTTGCGCTATTGCATATTACCCTGTTTCTGTTACTCCATCTTTCAAGGTCATCCTTTTCCTCCTGTATGAGCTCTCAGGCCTCTTTTCCACTGATGTTGCTTTCTTGCTTTGTGTTTCCTTTTTAAGCCAGTCATTAATGGAAGTATTCAGTAAAACTAGTCCCAAGAGAAATTCTATTAGTAATTTCTCAACATTTCTCCTTTCCACTGCTCAAGCTTCTGCCCCATTTGTCTGATTTCTTACCATCTCATGATTCTGGCTTTAATGCTCATTTTCTCCAATGTAACTAAAAACTTGTCAGATGGCACTGGGGCCAAAGCTTTTCCAATATCTAGGTGGATGAGGACAGCCAGATCTTCTGGGTCCTGATTTCTTTCAGGGTTCAGCATGCCACAGGGCTGGATATTCAGCTGTCGCTGAAGGGTGGTAGAAGAGGGCAAGAAATGCCCTCCTCTTTGCACTGCTTTTCAAAGGTGACTATGTGCCCTATACCTTGAGGATGGATCAAGGTTGCTGTTCTCAGGCTCTTAGGGCCAAGAGCTGCTTGTACAAGGACACTGTAGGAGCTAAAGGTCCCACCCTTGGATAGGAGCCTCTCACTGTTCTTTGGGAATCAGGCAAAAGTACATAGATTGAAAATGCATGTGTTAGCTGTAAGGTGACAAGGTGTGCTACAAAAGTGCAGCAAATCCCACCTCTGTCCCAGTCATTTGGTTGTTCTTTAACTCCATGGTTATGCTATCATTTTCATTTTGCAACCAAGGCTGTAAGTCAGGTCACACTTGATCTTACCCTAGACTGGACAAGCCACACTCACCAGCTGTTTGGTTAGTGAATAGATGTGACAGGTTTTCTTTCTTAACTTCCCAAGCCACTGGTTCTACAGCTGGTCATCCCTTCCATCTCACCTCTGCTGAACTCAGTCCCTCAGGCTGTGCCCACCATTACCTAAGGACTGGACCTGCCAGCACCCATGCTAAGCACGCAACAGGCGTGGATCTCTGCTGAGCGAGAGGGCACTGCTGCAGGTTGCTACATCCAGCAATGTTGCTACAGTTCAGCATCCCAGCGTGGTGCCTGTGTGCTCTTGGCTCAGCTGCAGGCAGGGCCAGAAGCCAAATAGCCCAGTCCAACATGCATATGTCCTGGGTTGTCTGACGTGTTGTCCAGCATTGTTGTGGGTCTGGTGTGAGCAGCGAGGGTGCATCTCAAGGGCTTGGGTTTGTGTAAACCAGCTCTTTGCCTCACAGGAGTCACTTTTGGAGGTTTCAGAGCTGCCTCCAAAAGCAGACATTTTTGTTATGTGAGTTTTCAGTCTGACATTAGCCTGCCATTAAGAGACAGGATCAGACAGTTGCAAAAGAGCATGAAAGAAGATGGGAGAAGGCTCCTGGCCTCCTGCTCCCCATAGAAGAACAGGTACTCTGGCCAGCAGTGTGACTTTAGTTAGAGCACAGCTGGGGAAGGAGAGGGTAGAAGGCGGGGGGGGGTCTTGCTGCAAAGGGAGAGACTGGAGCTTGTCCTCAGACCTCCGCTCACTCATTGCTCCTGCGCACAGAAAGGCAGCCTGGATGTGGCTCTGCCCTCAGTAGCCCCTGACATCTGCTCTGGCTCTTGCCTCTCTCTCTTGGCTCAGTTCCTTGGGGTTGTTGGTTTCCTGGCTGTGGGCAGAAGGTGTTTTTCATGGAGAAGGTGGTAGCCTGGGGGTGGATCAAGAGTGGGAGACAGAAGAGGGGAGGAGTCACTGATCAATGCTAATAAATAAAAGGCCCCTCTTCTTCAGTCCCAGGTCCAGGACGCCGGGAGAGCTTCCCCCTCAGACAAGAGCTGCAGGCTGGAGGGAAAGCGACAGCTTAGTGAGTATGCAGGGACCGCCTTGCTTTTCCTGGACGGCTGCTCGTTATTAATGCCTTGCTGGTGCTTCACAGCTGCAAAATGTTGGGAGTGGTTGCTATGGCATGTGTAACATTGTGATTCTCCCCTCCAGCAGAAGACAGGTCAGAGGGCTGCTTTTCTGATCTCCCATTTATTTGGGGGACTGCCCAGCATTTGCAGGCAATTCGTCTCAGCTCCTCTTTCTGTATTTCTAAGCAGTGGGTGCTGCTAGAAAGTAGAGGGATTTGTCTCACTGTGCTGCGTGTTACCTCTGGGGCAGCCCAGTGATGCTGGGGAGGGGAGATGTGTTCTGGAGAAGTATGGAGTGCAGGGGGAGTAGAAAGGAGGTGTACTTTTGAAGGGGAAAGTGTTTCCTAAAGTAGATTTGTTGGTATAGGGCTGTGTAGTCTGCATGTTCATTCATCTCTTGAAAAATGCATTGCCTGTGTAGTGAAAAATGAAACATGTGAGTTAAAGTGGTGTTTGTGGCTCTTCTGTGGCTGATGGCAGGGGATGCTCCAGGCATTTTGGGATCAGAGTCCTCTGAAATGGGAGCAGAGTCTTACAGAGAGCAGAGGGTTCTGCCCTGACTGAAGACAGAAAAATAAGGAGGGTTTGGCTGGAAAGTGTGTTGGAGTTTCCAGCTGTGCAGCCTCACGTTCATTCCTAAGTACTCCCAGCATCTTCCTCTCTGTGCCCCTCTGCTTACCCACTGGGGTCTCTCCTCCACCCTCTCCCTCAAGCCTCCCTTTCTTGGCAGCTCCCAAGAGCTCCCGAAGGGTACAGGACATTCAGGAAACCTATGAAATCCACATTCGACACTAAGTCCAAAACTGTAGGCTCTAAGGAACGCAAACAATCCCAGAGGAGAGAATTCTCTTAAAGAGACTGAAGTGTCAGGGCACAGAGGGACGGTGGAAAAGTGTCAGTTCTCCTCTGACCTTGTGTCTATAGCAGACTTCTAGCTTTTGCCCCAGCACAACCTAGTTTTCCTCCTCATCTCAAGCTGAGCATTGAACGGGCAGGATGTGGATGGTGTGGGTGTCATTGATGGTGCAGGACTGAGCTGCTCTCCACACGGGGATGGATAATGGGGAAGAAAAGCAATTCTTTCTCTTTGGTCTCTTTTCTTCTCTTGGAAGTTGAAGGCTTTGCTCAATTTCTCTCCCAGAGAGCACAAGCTTCAGGCAAGGGCCATGAGTTTGGCATTAAAAGTGTAAGTTGTAAAGCCCAGAGTAATCTTGTTCCACTGAAGTTTCACTCCACATTGGGGAAGTGTTAGGTTCTGGCTAGCTGTCCCTGTAGATGCCTCCCCAGACCAGCCTCTGCAGGTGACAGCAGTGACAACACCACACTGACATGGGGGGAACTGTCTGCACCTAGATTGCACCTAGTCTGCACCCTGTCAGTGAGAAATCCTCATGCCTGCATGGACAAAACAGCTTGGATCAGACTTAACAATGGTTACTGTGCCTTAGGCTCATCCCCAGGCAGTGTGCGTGGTCTCATTCCCACCACTGACATGGAGGTGGGCTGGCAGGCAATGGGTACCCACTCCCTCCCTGCCTTGCCTCCAGCAAAATACTCCCCTTTGCTTTTCACCCAGTAGGGATGGCCATCTCTGTAACTCCTTCTTTCTTCTTTCACTGCCTCCTACTGTACCACAGAGCTGGAAAGGGGAACACCCCATCTTTTGTCTATTGCCGCTAACCATGACATCAGTCCCAGACAAGCTCTTTAGGCCCTAGAAGGCAAAGTAATGCTCCCAGACACTGCTGGCCTAGGAGGTTCATCCCAGCTGAAAAGCCTTGTATTGACACCTGACTTCAGTGCCCAGTGAGGCAAGGACTACTAGTGCTAGACCAGAGAGGCAGCAGTCCTGAGAGATATGGTTACCTCTGCCTTCACCAAGATTGTGTCTTGGACTGGGAGAGCATCAGGACCACAGTGAGGACCTGCCGAGATAGAGTTCTCGGTGCTGCTGTCATCTCAATACAAAAATCATGATCCCTTTCTTCTAGGTTGCTGCTTGTCGCTCCTGGAGCAGTAAAGTAGGAGAGGAGAAGAGGCAGTAGGGTTGTGTTCCTCCTCTGACAAATGGCAGCCTGGCACTGCAGTGGGGCCAACTGGAAGGAGGGAGACTGAGTGGGGAGGGAATGTTGAAGTCTCATTCTCCGTCTCTGTTGGCAAAGCTGACAGAACAGTCTTGGCTGGATGTATCCAGACAGAGGATGGCAAGGGAAAAGAGGGTAGATCAGACGAAAAATTAGAAAGGCAAACATTTACATTTGGGATCAGCACACACCTCTCCCTCTGGGCCCCCAGCAGACCCTGAAATTCCTTCCACTTGCGCAGGCCAGCTTTTCTGAACATGGAGTGCTAGTGTACATACTTGCCTGTGAGTTATGGCCCCCAACCCTGCACTGGGAGAGGAAGGGGACATGCCCCCTCCTTCCCAAAACCTGATTCAATCTGCTAATAGAGGATGTTTTGTAATGGCTCCATAAAGAGTTTGTACCAGCCAGCAGTCGACTTCCCCAGGCTCTTTCATGGGCCCCCTCCTGGCTCTGTTTTCATAATAAACATTCCACTGCTAATTTTGTAGGCAGCCCAGGATCTCCAGCTGCCCTCAGGGGGAAGACATTAAGACCCAGCAAGAGAGACGAAGTGAGAGATTCCTCTCTGCATTGGCACAATGCGCACTCTCATCATCTTTACACTTCTGGCTGTCTTGCTGATGGCTGCTACTTGCTATGGTAGGTGACCATTTTTACTGTGTAGAGTGATAATTCCAAACCTGCAGACATCTTTGAGTCTGTTCAGATGTTTTTTATTCAACTTTGTGTCTTCTTTTCCCTTGACTTGATCTCTTGCCTGCTTTCCTGCCCTTGTGTCAAATCCTCCTAGCCCTGCTCCAGAGCTGTCAGCTCCAGTCATTGTGATTTGTGGTCCAGGATGTTTCAGCCCCTTCCTCTCTGTTCCAGCTCATCTCGCAGACTGATCCTCTTTCTGCCCCTCTTTTGTCTGGACTACAATAAAAGTTCTTAATTCTTCCTTGTTAAAGGGGAGATTTCCTTTCTTCTTATGTAGTATCAGCCTCCTTTTACTGTGAGGCACACAGTTCCTTACTGATGGAATTAAGATGCTATTTCATGCGAGAATCAAACACGTCTTACTGTGCTAATCCATTCTGTAAGAACACATGCAGGCTTTGAAGGTAAGCAGGTATCATATCCACTGTAGTGTGAGGAATATGAAGGTGAGGAACTATGCTTGAGAATCTCACACTGGAAGACCAAGCATGACCCATGATGTCCTGGATCAAGACACCAGGTAGCTCCATTCTGAACTCCTGAACACCCTAAATTCCTCATATAAATGCTAGGTCACACCACTGATCCCTTTCTTTTCCTTTTAAACAGGTGCTTTAAAACCTGGCTTCTCTGATTTGTGTATGCATACTCTATTGATCTGTGGTGTGTGAAAGACTGTGAATCACATCAATACAGTGTCTTATCACATGTTTTGCTCTTTCTTTCCCCAGAGTCCCATGAGAGCATGGAATCCCATGAGTATCTCAGTAAGAGACTGCTTTACTATTTTCTTGAATCTGAAGAGTGCTACAGACCTCTCTGAGACCATTTCCTTGTACTTTACTGTAGGGATTAAATAGGTAGAACCACTCAGCCCAGGGAAATTGAATTTACTGGGTGATGGAGTTTCAGGATGAAAAGGGAGAGAGTTAGAAAAATGACTTCATGTGTTTGGGCACAAGTGCATAACACTGTTTTGCAAGGAATACAGTAAGAATCGGAAAACGAAGTCACAAGCTTATATCCCTGCTGCGTGCACCTAAACCAGGCTAGGTCACACTAGAAAAGGCCATTGCTCAAAACACTCTGGGATAAGCATGGAAAGAGGTAGTGCAGAAGCCAGTGATGTGACTTGTTCTCCCCAAAGAGAGGGAGAGCCTTACTCTCAGCACCTTGGAAGAAGCAGGCGGGATGTGTGAGCAGGAGGGATTCTTTGGTGGGAAGTGAGAGTTAGTGTCACAGGAAAAGCATAAAAGAGTGGAGAGTCTCACTCTGGAACAAGCAATATCCTGGAGAGACTGGAGAACAGATGGGTCAAAGCTAAAAAGAAGTTAGACCATCTGGAAGAAGGACTTCACAAAGCAGCTAGTCAGAAGCACAAAGGCACATGTTGGAGCCAGTACCAAAGACATCCACAGACCTCTGAGCTCTGCAATAGCATTCTGATGTTTCTCAAAAAGGTCAGAAGGAACCTTCAAGCACCTCAGTCCAAAACTGCCACACAGACTGCTCAGTGACTGCCTAGGCTTGGAGGCAGATAGACTCAGGCCCTTCCTGGTTTTGCTTGTAATTTCACAATTCTGCTAATTCTGCTGCGCGTGCCCAGACCTCCCACAGCCTGTGCAGTTTGGCACTTACCTCTTGAGCCAAGCTCCATTCATTTAGAGGGGCTCTGGCAGTAAAATCACAGTAGCTTTCCCCTGGGTGGCTTGAGTAACAGCAGAGCAAAAGCGGCATGTGCGCTTCCACACAGGTTGTGTCAGCCAGAGGGAGAGCCTAAATACGAACTAACGGGGTGGACAGCAGGGAATATTAAAAGGTCCTGAGTTTCACTGTGTGTGGGAGGGCAGACAAGGAGGCTGTTATAAATGTGGAAGCTAGCTGTTGTTGAAATTTGGCCTTGAAAAAGTATCTATCTACTCTGAACAACCCTTTGCCTTTTCAGATCCCTTCATCAACAGGCGAAGGGCCAGTGACTTCATACAGGCTGACACGAGACTAGAAGCCATTTCTCAGGAGAGGTATGTTATGGCCTCAGGACACTGAGGATGGGAGTGGGGAGAGGTGTCTCCTTGCTGAGCACAGAGGTAATATCCATAGTGACTTCTGAGAGGCCTCAGCCCCTCTCTCAGTGTGAGATGCCTGTGAATTTGCCAACCTTGAGAGAAGCCAGAACTCAGATAGCAGAGAGCAAGTCCTTGCATTTGAAGATGTCATGTGCTGGGAGGGCTCTGCTTAATTTTTCTGAAGGAAACACCAACAGAAGGAGAAGGAATCAGTGTGGGATGGCCAGAAAGAAAGCTCAGTTCGAGATATTGTTCTAGTCTTCAGATCTCATGCAGAATTTTCACGACCTTTTCTAAATTGCACGGCCATCTAGGGACCTCCCTGCCTCATCTATAAAATGCAGATACAGGCAGTTTCATGTCTCATGCAGGGCATGTGAAAATAAAGGCTGAAGCACAGAAATAATCTCTTGGCGAGGTGTCAAGGTAGACCTTCTCTGCAGTACCAGGTGGTCCCCTTTGCAGGATGTTTCAGGTCTTTGTTCCATGTGTGGCTTTGGGGAAGATCAGAAGAGCTGAAGGTGTCAGGCTGGGGGAGTTGTGGAGGGAGGACTCTTCCTCAGATTGAGGCAGGAGCCACCCCCCTCTCCCCGCCACCCTACTTAGACCTGAAATAAAAGGTTACCTGAAGAGGCAAAATGTTCCTACTCTAGTCACATTGCTCCGCTGGGTGCGGTGAACACAGAAGCTGGTGTGCTAAGATCTTTGTAGCTGGATAACAGAATCTGGTGATGGATCCTTAATCCTGGTGGGGGGTTGTGGGGCAGGAAAGGGTTGTAAACAGACACTTTGACAGCCCTTACTCCTCATCTCTCCTACTTTTGCAGGATCAGGGAACGTATTAAGGCACCCCAGGAACGTCAGAGGGAGATCTGCGAGGACTACTACCCCTGCGAACTGTACGCTTTTCGCCATGGCTATGCTGCTGCTTACAGGCACTATTTTGGGAGGAGGAGGACTAAGTAAAGGATGACCTGTTCCCCACCCTGGGGCCTGGAGCCCAGGGTATCCTCCCAAAAAATGCAATGGCTCTGAAACATATTCAGTTGCTTGTGTCCCTGTATGTTATCCTGCCTGCTGCTTCTCTCCCATGTAGCCATGGATTCCTACACTGTGTTAATTAGCGCTGAGCTGATGTAGCAGAGATCAGAGAGAGTTCAGGATGTCGGTGTTTACTACACAATAAACTGCTGGTTTGATACTATCTTCTCATGAGTCACAGTATTTTGGGTGTGTGTGTGCAATTTGCCTTGAAGAAGCTGAGTTTGTTTATTATAGAATCTGGTGTGGATTATGAAAAACGTCACTACCTTGCAATCATACAAGTTTGAAAGGATCTACAATATTTTTATTGCAGGGTCTACAGGTGGCTTCTTTCAGAGATCACTGACAAATTTCAGTTCCCAGACTTAAGATATCTTAAAACGGCATGGTGTTCAGAAGGCAGGGTGAGATTCACTTTTTGAAAATGAAACCTGTAATATCTTTCCTCTGTTGGGGAAACAAAATTCAAAAGGCACCTGTTTAATCTTAAAAACAAAGTTAGGGCAAGAGTTAGTGACAGAAAAAAACTGTAAATTGCATATTGTTTATCCAGCTACCCTCAGGTCCTCATGTAGGATGCTCCTGTAGGAAGGAGCGTGGTCCAGACTTTACTTGTATACCCTTTTGGAATCCGCTTTCATGCCCTTACTTCTACTTGGAATGATTCTGGTAGCACTAGAAAGCTGCAGAAACCAAAGGTGAAGGGGAGCTTCAGGTGGCAAATAAAACAGTTGGGGTCAACCCCAACTTTGTTCACCTAGAACAATTTTATCTTACTGTTCGTAACTCATTTGAAACCAAGATGTGGCCTGACCCTGTGCATAGACTGCTGAGCACCTCCCGGCCTGTCAAGGAGTTAGTATGACCACTGTCAGATTGTCACCACCAGCAGCACCAGGGTATATTGCAGAGCTTGTCTGCAGGCCCAAGAGGCACCAATGCTGACATGCTCAAGAATTCAATGCTGCTCTGGGCTGGTCAGCAGCCACAGCAGCTCAGACACTCCTTGGTGTGGGGTGTCTAGGAGACATCTTCTATCTCAGCTCAGCACAGCTGGTTTCAATATTCACATCTCCAGGCTTCCACAGGCACCTGCGAATTATAGAAGTGGGAAAGATTCATGGCACGCCATCAAAGGCTATGAAGTATAAAGTATCAAATTGTTGACTATCCCGTGAAATTAATTCTAGAACCAAATCTACCTGCTGCATTAGAAACATGCAACTTCTTCCAAAATATGCTTCAAGGCTTTGCCAGCTTTGAAAATGAACTTTTGAAATAAAACATGATTTCTTTATTGAAAACACTTTTGATTTGATAGGAAACTCTACCCTGACAGTTGCTAAAGTTTTGTCCAAAGGAAAAAGTGAGACATAAGTGAGTTTAAGGAAAAAACCCTGTACGGATTAAGTATATTTTCACCCACACTTGTCCTGCATGTTCCCAAGTAGGTGATTCTTACGATCACAAATCAGAGCAAAACTTTCATACCCTAAAGTCAACAAGTTTGAAGTGTCTGGGTTTGACTTGACACTGTGACACTACCAAAAGAGAAGGCACTGGGTTAGTGCTGTCTGGGTCTGTGTCCAGAAATATCTCATGATTCCAACCTCCAGTTTACCAGTATAAATAATGAATAATACAAGAGATTTCTGTGGGATTTTGTTAATGTAAGCAATAACCAAACATGTTTAAGAGACTACATACTGGTTAGAAATCTTGGGAAAAGCTGGGAAGAGAAGTAAAGCTGTTTGGATTACTAGAGTTGTATATTTATATTCTTTCAAGTATTCTTTCGAAAGCATAACTTTCCTAGAATACATATTATTTTTAGATATTTATTTATTTATATACAGTTGCTCTTTAAGATACTTTTGCTGGAAGTTTTTAGTATTTATATTCAGTCTTTTGTGGACATTAGAAAAGTTAAACTTTTTTTTTCCCCCTAAATCCTGAAATTTCTCTAAGCTAAAAGAGTGTTTCTCTAACGATTCGCAAAATCCCTAATGGCTCTGCCTGCCCTTGGGAGCCTTTTAGGCTTTAATTCTGTAATCTTTGGACATGTGCCCTGTATGTGGGGCTGAGGAAGACTGGATATGATGTGGAGGAAGATGTGATCCGTACCCTGTTTGTGGGACATGGCTTTGGGAACTTGGATGGTGGGTCTGGGGAGTATGGGGTTATTGGTAGATAGGTTGTAGAAGGCCCCATGCAGAGGTCTTGACATACCAAGTACCCACAGCCACGCATGTCCTGTAAAATAAAGCACTTTTGGAGTCTAAAGGTTTATTTGATTTTTAGACAAGAGAAGCCGAACTAAGGCCTCCAAGCTAGGAAGATTTCCAGGAATGAAAAAGAAAGACCCTTCCTCAAACTAACTACCAAAGTTCCCAACAGTATAAAAATCTCAGCTTTCTGAAGTGGTTTGGTGAAAGCGTCTGAAGCAAAAATCTATTGTGTATTTGCTCTATGCAAATTGTTTCATGGGTTTCTTTACCTTCAGGGGAATGGGTCAGGATGGGATGGGGGAATAGGGTCACCACTGGATTCAGTCTCATTTGATTTTTCACATGAGAGAGCCCCATCACACGGAAAGAACTTCTCTACTTCAGGGTGTGCTGGTTTCTCCCCTGAATTTCCAGCAAGAAGATGAATGGCTTTGATGTTTATAAGAAAAATGGGGTTTTTTTATCCAGTTGTTTTGCTTCAACAGTTCCATTCAAAACCTCAAATAAAATCTTCTGGACATGCCACGAGTCCTGAGATGGATGTCAAAATGATCCAAAGAACAGGATTTGTTTTGGAGCTCAGACACAGGAACACAAGCCAGAGCCCTGATCTCTCCAGGCAATCACAGGATATAAACTGCTGCCCAAAAGCAAGCTCCGGAGAACTTCAGTAACATCCAGGAAAGCTCTGAGGTTAGGGAGACTAGCGCAGCCAAACAAGACATGAGGAGTCTGCTGGCACCGCTGATCGTGACTCTGGCCCTGGCAGCGCTCTGCTGTTGTGAGAAAGGTAAGGGGACGACTTCCTGGGAAGGCTCATGGGACCGCTGCTCAACCCTGCATCTTGCTGCCAGTCTCCCTTCGATCTGGGAGAGACGCACAGCTTTGGGGGAGGAGATGCAGCACCGGTCATTGCACAACCTCAGATCTCTGTCTGAGAGACAGAGTCATGGACGAGAGAGGGCTTGGGGACAGAGAGCCTCATCTCTTGCTGGGTCCCACCCCCCACCGCCCCCAGCTGCACCATCGAATTGCAGCAGAGAATTTGAACATTTGGATATGTTTAAGTATCAAACCAGTTTAGCATTTAGGTGAACTGGCAAAGGTATTCTGGCTTCTCAATTTTGAGTAAGAGGGTTGAGGTGCAAGCAGATTTGAGCCAACCCCAGTGGGTGCCTGCCCGCCCTGGAGTGGTGTAGGGTCACAGAGACAGGCTCCGAGTCAAGTCTGCACCTGCAGAGAGATGTGGGAAGTGGAGAACTTCTGGAGGAAAAAAAGCCTCCTACTGGTGTATAAAAAAAGGGAGTTGTCCCATTGAAATAAGAGCACATCACATTTGAAGGTGTCATCACTAGATGGTGACTTTGTGATGAAGACATAGTAATGTCGTTGAACCCTATAGATGAAGAGAGAGGGAAGGAGGGAAATATCAGAAAAACAAGTGTTTTCCCTTTACAGCAGGAAAAGAGAAGCTGAGCAGGAGAGAGTTCTGTCTTTTCCCATATTATCTCATTCAGAGTTAAATTTTGTTCAGTCCTTGGCATCAATATGTCATGATCCAATACTGGCAAATATATTTTGTTTAATCAGTGTTTTCCTTCTGTCAGTCTCTTTCACACTTTTTCACTCTTGAGTATATATCTGCCTTTTTTTTTTTTTTAGTCATTATTATGTTCCAGAATGATTAATGGCCTTGTAGTAACTTCTAATTTATATTTTTTTAATCCAAGGAGTGTATACATTGGTTAAAAATAGAACTACAAACAACCCTTTTCATACAAAGTTTTTGTTTAAGCACAGTTGTTATTTTTTGGTCTCTGGAGTCCTCTTTCTGCCCATAAATACACTTATGCCAAATACCTAGTGACTTGGGTGGAATTGACACAGTTGCAAAAAAGTATGGTGAAATAGTGGAAGAAAAAATTTATGAAATAGGGCAGTGTGGGAAAGCCAAGATAGGAGACCTTCCATTTCTCTTTGAGAATGCTTTCCTTGGATGTTTGCAGGGATCATTAAAGATTAAGATTAGGATTTAACACAGAAATACAGTGTGTAAATTCCTCTTGGGAGGGCTGGTGAGCCAGGTACCTCAACCTTGAGGCAGAAAACTGTGAGGGCAGAGTTGTTCCTAATTTTTGGCCTGACTTACCAATGGCTTGTGATTTTTCCCCAGAGTTAAGGAAACCTCTGTTTCCAAAGATAGAGGAGATGCTTAGCTATCTTCAGGTTCTGTACAAATTTGGGATTTTGCTCAAATGGTACACTACCTCTAGCTATCTCTGCTCTTAGCAAGGGCGGGGAGAGAGAAGGAGCAAGGTCTTCCTCCAGCTTCCATAGTCCTTATATATTTATTGTGTCATTTAATCTGGCTCAGAGGAAGTTGAAATTAAACAAATTCAGGCATAATGGGTGAATTGTGTTGTGGTGGAGTAGTCTCTCTCTAAATGGTGGGTGTTAACAAAACCCTTTTTGGGAGGCACAGACCTCCTGGGAAAGTGGGGGGAGCTGGACCCAGCCAGCAGGCAGAGGGATTTCGTTACAAAGTGGAGCAGAGGAGGATGATTCACAAGCAAACTCCTTTCTGTCTGTCTGTCTTCCAGATCCCAAAGACCCCTCAGGATCTCCCAGTGCTGACAGTGAGTATAACATTATGACTGATGCTCAGCTCCATTCTCCTGCATCTGCCTCCTTTCTCCCCTTTGATAGGTTCAAGGGGTGAACAAGAACCATGCTGAGTCCCTCTAGCTGCTCCACTTTTGCTCCCTCAGCACTGCCATCCCTGAGGTGCAGGAGCACCTGCAGCAGAGGGGCTGCCTTTCACAGCCATGGGGTCAGGAGACCAGGAGGGAGGTCAGCCTCCCTGCACCAGCAGCCTCGATCATAGAATCAGAGAAACATTCAGGTTGGAAAAGACCTTTGAGACCATCCAGTCCAATCATCACTCCAGCTGCGCTAGTGCCATAGCTTACATCTCCACTACCCTTGAGCAGCACCCAGGCAAGACATGAGTCCTGCAGGTTGTTAGCAGCTGGATGTATCTACCCTCTGTGAAACAGGGTGATGTGGGTGGAGCAACATGGCCAGTCTCCCTGCTTCTCTGAGGAGCCTCACAGACCTATCCAAAGTGACTGCTGCATCCCCAGACTGTTAAGAGAGCAGAACCTGCCCCAGGTCCTCCAGGTACTAGTATTTTGGATCTGCTGAGCAGTCAATCTGGTGTGCAGGATCACAGTGCAGAAAGGTTTGGTGCCACACGGCAACAGGCTGTGATATCCCTGCCAAATCCCACAATCTGGAGAGCCTGAAAACAAGCGCCTTCCTTGGCGGCTCCTGGGGGCTGTAGTCCCTCCTGTCAGGTCGCCTGGGACATGGGGATTTACACATCTTGGGATGTTCACAGCTTTTGCAGCAAGGTGATCCTGGCAGAAATCTGTATGGAAAATCCCTTTCATTCTCCCCTGTCTTCCTTTCTCACACCTTAAAGGATAACATTACTGCTGAGAAGCATGAAAGCTGGTATTTCTCCAGTGAGCCAATACAAACACAGATTGGAAAGAGAAAAAAAATGAAGAGTGTTCAGGGAAAAGCAGTGATTTCTGACAGCTCATTAACTGGCAGTTTCTGTAGTTGGTATTCTGATCCAGACTAAAACCTATCTTGCTCACCTGCCAAACAGAAACATGGTCAAACACCCCACGATGATGAGGGAAGGGCACAAACCCCACCATCTCCCCACAGGCAGAGATCTTAGAAACTTCTTTCCCCCAGTAACAGCAACAGTTAGCTAGTTTCCTTGCTGAGACGTGTATTGGTGTGCAGCTGCCTGTGTTGCTGGTGTGCCAGCATTTGTGCACACCTCTGCTCATATGGGTCCACCCATGGAGTGAGGCTGTGCTGCACTGAGCCCTGGCTGGGGTTGGGAAGCAAGGTGTCTCTACTTGCTGTTTGTGGGGTGCTCTGCAGCACCCTGGTGTTGGTGCAACTGCAAATCCAAGAGAGCAAATAAGCAACTGAGCTGACATGGTGTGTTAATGGAGACCAAGGGCCAATGCAGTCATGGCAGAAAGACCTCTCGTGTTCTCCAAGTCCTGAACACTAGGATCTTCACACCCTCTGGCTGAATTTCTTCTATTTTATACCCCTCACCTTTCGTGGAACTCTGCACATGTGAGCATTGGTATTTCCACATGCTGCCTGTTGCTTACGGCTTATTAGAGGCATCGTTAAGGCCTGGTGGCTGGTACGCCACACCATTTTTGAGTCTGTCAAAACACAGAAAGGAAGACAAGATCGTGAAGTTAAGCTCAACTTCAGAAAGGATGCCAGTCCGTTCATTTTCTTCATATTAATATTTTATGCTTTCTGCATATTTGCCATGGATTCAGTTCATGTTGTGTGATAACAGAATGGAGTTTATGACAGAAAAGGCCCTTGCTCCATGTAGATGTGCAGGTTGGAGTGAGGAGGGAGCCCAGCTGTGGGGCTTTGTGTGTACAGTGGAGTGGGGAGAGATGAATGGGCAATTAGGATGGTTTGTGGCAGTCATCTGCTTGTGAAGAGAGCAGACTGTCCATTTTCAGAGGTTAGACTGTTCTCTGTTTTTCACAGACCATGGCTGTGCATCTCTAACCCACTGTGTCCTCTCTTGGTAGGCATCATGATTAAAAAAGAAGTTGCTGATGCCTTTGTGAAGAGGCAGAAGAGATCCAGCCTGTATGAAAGGTAACAACTCACAAATCAGGCTGAGAGCTGGACCTATTATGAAGAGGGGGTGGGAAGGCAACAGGACATGACAAGGCATTAATTCATTGTACACCTATGTTAGTGCCTTCATGTGTTGAAGCAAAAAGGCTGTAGAAGATACTTATTTATGGACAAATGGTTCTTTCCCATAAATATCCTTTTGACAGCTCATAGCTGGACTCTGATATTCCTCCCAGGGAGGAAGACAGTACTAGCTGTCTGGACTATCCATGGAGACACCAGGATGCAAGTTAGAAGCTGCTCTAACCTGCAGGGTCATCAGAGCCAGTTTCCACATAATGAGGGTCACAGAGCCTTGGTCATTACCTCTGTCTCCCTGTAAAGGAAGCACAGCTCTGTTGCAAGGATGAGGCTAGATCAAAATGGCTGTTCTTTCTGAAGCTGTAGATCCTACATCTGTTTGTGTAGAAATCCTAGGCACAAAGATTTGGAGAAGTCCTAGCTATAAACATCTGGAGAAATTTGAGGTCATCCAAGAATATTCTTCACATATTTCCTGGAAGAAGTTGTTACGCCGCTGTCTCATGTAGGCCTGTGCAAAAAGAATTTTTATTCAATCCGTCTTTGGACTGGAAGGATAATATTGTTTTTTAGATAATAGAAGATTGGGAGGCCATGTCTCTGGAGGAGAGGATCAGAGTATTGTAACAGAGGAACTGGCTGATGTTGAAACCTGCAGTGATTAAAAACAAGATGAAATTCAGTAGTAGCAACAGTATTGACTGTACTGACTACCCCCTTACAGGTGGGATATTGTAAAAGTAGCTTCTGCTATAAGCATTAATCGGGAAGGATTGAAGTAGACAGATAGCTCAGGGCATTATTTGATCATGAGGCAAGGTTAGTCTGGAAATATGGATGCAATGAATGATTTCAAGGGTGCTGCAGGGTACACCCAACACAGAAATAAAGTAACAATTGATGAGATACTGGTGCAACGTCTCCTATAGCATCATGTACAGTCAAAGAAAGATTAACCAGACCTGGAACAGGAGTAGAGAAGGGCATCCAGAGTGTATAGCTGAGACTAAAAGATTTGGGCTTGCTTAGCCCCCCAAAAAAAAGCTGAGTGGGGATAGTGTTGCTGTCAACAAGAGAAGTGAAGAAGATTAGAGGAAACTTCTTAAGCTAAAGGAAAATAGTGGCTAGTGGGAAAGTGAGCAGAAACTGGGAGCAAATAAAGGTAAGCAGGTGACAAATAAATAAATAAACATCAACAACAAAAGATTCCTGGGTAGTTGGGGAATGAGGTTGGGAACAAAAAAACCCAACACTAACTGCTTCTGTGGTCTCTTTTGATGATAAAACCTCAAAAGCAATTGCTTTAAGCTGGGTTCGGTTCCAACTTTTCTGTGTTAATCAAGTAGTCTATCCCTATGTAAGTAGAAGTTTAACTTACCATGAGGAGTTCCCTGTTGGGGCACCCTGAGGAATCACTCTTCTCCTGTTAGTGTTACAGGTGTGGAACCTCTCCAACTGTGTTAATTGAATCTGCAGAATGGCATGTCTCTCTTTGTCTGCTCCAGGTATGTTGAGTATTACAAAAGTCCAATGGAGCAGATGCATGAGCGTTGTGAAAACTACCCACCCTGTGACTATCTCTCTGACCAGATAGGATTTTCCATGGCCTACAACCGTTTCTTTGGGAGATACTAAGGATGGGATGGTCACATCGTTCATTTTGCTTGAGACCACTCTGAACTCCCCAGGAGAAAGAAGGTTGTGGGCAGGAATGAGTGAAGAAAAACATCTAGACTGGGGCCTTCTTTCATTGTCTTCCTAGCCAGCTGGAACACCGGGGTAATAATTATCCCACTTGTTGAGCTTGCGTTATCTTTCTTCCTTTCATCAAAAATGTTTCTCTCCAGTCATCTTTTGTGGTATTTTGAGCTTCACCAGAAACGATTGAGAAGACTGTGTCTTACCTCCTTCCGTTTGAATCCCCACGACACAGTGGCTGAAAAAACTATGATTCCTCTCAAGAAAATCAATGTATGCCTTAGAAACATAACAAGACCTTTTGTCCTCTTCTACAAAATGCGGGAAGATTGTAGAAGGAGAATGACACAACGCGTGTAAATGTGATGCATCTGATCCCGGGATGCTCATTGGGAAGAAGGCAGAATGGCTGCCTCCTGGTACAATAACTGGGAAAATTCAGTATTTTCAGGTAGTGTGATCACCCTATATATGTGCCAGTGTAGGATCATTTTGTAAAGATAGAAGTGTGGAAATACTATTACACAGCCAGAAATCAGACTCTGGTACACTCTTCTGATTATTCTGTCACAAAATTTGCCTGTATGGCAACAACAGATAAATCCCAAAAGGTGTGTTTAAGTAGTCCGTTTAGATGAGCCCTTCCGTTTGTATGCTGCATTCAGTGACTGTAAAATGTAACTTGGAAATTTCTTGGTTTTGTTACAAGTGGTTTCTGGTGAAACTGAATATACCTAAGCAGAACAAAAAATAATCTGTGCCTCTTTTGATGCTTTAGCATTTATGCGTGAAAGCAAAAGTGTCTGAACACCTCCAAAAAATCAAAGAAAGAAAAAAAGCAATAAACTTTATGAAATAAAGAAAACCCAAATCCGTTCAAGGGCAGATTGAAGTTGGGTCAACATTTGATTTATTCAAGGCAACTTGTATCTCTCTCACACATATATATATATAAAAAAAGTGTGTGTATTCATATACATATCCTCTTCAGTCTGCACTACTTCATGGCGTCCTCTGGTATGAATATTATACCTTAGCAACTTTCAGCACAGCCTCCCTTGATATGCTCTGTCAGCTTTCTTTCCCTGAGAGGTAGGTGGCAGATCCCATCTCCAAGGACAGGGACTGCTGACCCTCAGGAGGCTGAGAAAGACCAATCCTCTCCTCTCTGGTTGCGTGTAAGCTGGTACAGCCACCCCCAGCTGCTGACTGCAATAAATACTGCTTATGCAAAGCAGATCGGTGTGCTGCTTCTCTCTGTTCCTCTGTACAACTGTTATCTGTGGTTAGGGATGCCTAGAAGATAAAGCCTGCTCTATGAACCCTGAAGAGCAGGATTTAGGTGTGTGAAGCATCCTTTTCCCCTCCTGTGCCCCAGTGTGAATCAGAAGTGATTACACTGAAATTCAGGTCACGATCCCAGTACACTGTGACGGTATGTCACAGGAAGAGAAGGGCCAGTGCTTTTCCAGATTCACCATTTACCGAGTTCAGCATTTCTCTGAAAGACCTTGCCCTGAAGTAAGGACAAGGGATAAGTCCACAGAAGATGGCTGCCAGTGGGAGTGTGAGCATCTGTTGTTTGGCAAGGTGCTGTGACTTGCACCAGCTATGCTGACTTTGGCCAAGGAGAAGATGGTTAATAAGTACCTTTGCTTGTCTTGGTCAAACATCTGGGACTGGTTCCCCTATTGGCATAAACTGATGGGGCTTCACTGCTCACAGCAAAACTCTCCCCTGAACACCATTTAGTAAAAATGAACCAAGTGCTCACTGAAAGCAGTGAAAATTTTTTTCTGGGAAAAATACTGGAGAGATTAGTGAAATCTTCTGCACTAACAAGTTAGGGGTTTTGTTGCACAGTTTTGTTTGCACAAAAAGAAAAACCTTCCTGTCTGTATTTGTATCTTTCTGTTTGTGGTATATTTTCCTCTGTCTTTCAGTAAATATTTTTTTCAGGTGAGTTGCACACGAAGGCCTCGATCATGTCATCTGCTTTGTGTCACCAGATCTCTATATGGGCTGAAGTCAGCATGACCTTTGGGGATGTGAGTTTACAAAGCACTCTACAAATTTACTGCTGGAATGGAGGACTGCGTTTTTGCCTGATAATGCAGACTTGAGTAACACTACAAATCCTCTGCTGCCATCTTAAGGCCATTGTATTTATTGTATTTAATAATAACTACCTTGCTTCTGAAGTATTTGAAATGCAAATCCAGTGGGCTTTCCTCCTCATTCACTTCATACTACAACATACACTAAGAGGCCAGAAAGGAAAAATAGGGACATAATGTGCAACTGGATTATATGCAGCTGAACTGACATTTTAGTGGATCTGTTTATCCTGATTGTAAAGTTCCCACTGGAGCCTGTCACAGTTTAGCTCCTTTTTATCTCTGCATGAACAGGAGAGCAAATGCCTCTGAATAAATCCGCAAGAGCTTCTGTGGGTTCACTTTTAGCAGTCAAAGAACTGCTTTCTGAAATACAACCACAGATGATAGAGCAATTCCAAGAAGGAGAAGTAGGTACATTTATCACTTTGCATCATCCTTCATATCATCTCATATCACCAGTGGCTGCAGATATTGTCAGCAGCATCAGCTGGTGCAGTGTTATAGATCACTTTGAACGCAACCCAATATGTGACCTTCATGTCATCTCTCACCCTATCTCAGCAATATTTGGCAAATGCTCTCTGTCTACAGAATCCAAGCAGCTGTACAGACATCTCTTTTCTCAGGGAATCATACCACGACTACAAGTGGCCCCCTCACCCAGCCTATCACTAGCTGGCAATGGAAAACGGCCTTCACTTCTCTGTAGAGAGAATGAGGCTCTGACACCTCCTCTTGGCTCTTTTTTTTCCATGTAGAAGAGTTGCCAGATGCCATGGGGCTTCACAGGTGAGTAACTCACTGCCCTTTATTGGGAAGGTTGACTAGAAAACAGGTACTAGAGGGGGGTTAGTGTCAGTATAGAATCTGTATTTACACACTCATTCTGAGTGTACCCAATGTAAACAGTTCAACAAGGTGCCACTCTGCAGTCGTGTAAGAGTAAGATTGGCAACACATCACTAGAAAGTAGGGGGAGCTGAGGAGAGGGACAGTTATGTTATCTCTGCTTCCAGATGGGATCCCAACCTACCCTGCATTTCTGTGTTGGCTTTATCAGAGCTCTGCACTTCCTCAAAAGGACTTTTTAAGCTCTTGACCAAGGAGCGCTCTCCACCTTATCCTGACACGTTGCTCCTCAGGAGACAACTGCTTTAGGCTTCTCTAAGCCAGAGTTTTCTTCCTTTTTGCAAGAACAAGAGCACCAGGTACCTTGGAATTAAGAGAACTAGCAAGGTGAAGGACACCTATACCAGCTGAAGTTGGTACAACCAGACCCTTCCTTATGGATTGTGGGCACACTTCTACCAGTAAATTGTCTGTTTGGATTGATTAATGACTTCTGAATTGCTGTAAGAATCTGTTGAATGATCTCTGGTTGAAGAATTGTCACAAAAACCTGAGTGCAAATTACAAACTGCAGAATTTTCCAGTTCAAGAAAAAGGGGACAGAAACAGATGTAAATGACCTCTACTTCAGCAGAATGTTCTTTACAGTGTCTTGGACGGACTCTAGGACGCCATTGCTGCTGGCCAGCCTTCTGTTGCTGATCTCGCAAATGCCGGTTATAGGGGTAAACATTGTTCTTTATTTGAAATAGTGAAATTGTGTATTCCACTGAAGTAATTTTTTTTCTTTTCTTTTCCTTTTTTTTTTTTTTTTCATGTTCTTTAAGGAACTTTGGGTTCAGTTTTAACTCTTCTGCTTTCAGTTGCTCTGCTTCATTTCTTACTAGTCCTAATTCCTTTTAACTACTTGGTTGGAAATTTTTTCTCGTTTAGAGCCAGATCATTTCCCAGGGTGTATTTGTGACTAGATCTCATGGAATTGTTCCTCGGCTCTGGTAAAATCAATGTGTTGTTGGATGGGACAGTAACAATATCGCTCTATTTCTTGTGACTGCCTTTTAGCTTTCCCTCAAAGCAAGTACAGTTTCATGGAGAAAGAAATTGAATCCCTATATAGTTTATGGGCCACTATAACCTACCTGCTGTGTTTCCTCTGCCAATAATGACAAAGAGGCAAGAAGAGGGTAGGGAAAAATGTGGCTTGCATCCATAGACGTACACAAAGGGTTCACACTTCTGATGCGAATCTTCATTTGCTTTTACGTTGCAGGCTGAGACCCGCCTCACAATGGATATGGCTCTGCATTCCTTTGATGACCAGTATCTGGGGTGCAGAGAGCAGATGGTGGAAGAACTGGAGCGAGGAGACTATTTCCAAAAGGAAATAGCTGCTAACAAGGACTATTTGAGTCTCTGGAAGAAGGCTCAGGAGGCTTTGTTAAAGAGCCCTGTAGGTCTCCTGAGGGAGATGCATGAAAGCCATGCCATAGTCCTCATGGCTTACACCATGAACTCTTCCCTGCACTCGCAGCTGAACTGGGCCACATCCACAGCAGGAAGCTCTCCAGAGCACTACAGACACAACTTCAGTTTCAAGTATTTTCACTTTTACCTGACGACTGCTATCCAGATAATGAAGCAACGGCAGAGCAGCAAGGATAGCATGGGGAAACATAAGTGCTACCGGGTGCACAGGGGTGTAAAAGACTTATATATCGAGGCTACGGTTGGCAGCAGGGTGCGATTTGGCCGTTTCACCTCCACCTCCCGCCTCTGGAATGAAGCCCAGAAGTTTGGAAACGAAACTTTATTCACAGTGACAACTTGCCTGGGAGCAGCTGTACAAGGCTTTTCTTACTACACATCTGAGAAGGAAGTCCTCATCCCCCCTTATGAGATATTCCTTGTCAAAAGCTTCTTTCAGACACAGCATGGTAATAGGCTGCATCTGCATTCTGCGGGAAACTACAGCAAGTACCACTGCCAGCTTGTGGAAGGTATTGTATATAGCCTTTCATGCAGATGGGGTGCAGGTCAGTCCGATCTCAAGTACCCCAAGCAGCCCTCACCAGCTACACCTACATGAGGCCATATTCAAGGCCAAATCTGTAGCTTGCCAGATATGTTCACCTATGAGAGCCACGTGACCCAGTTTTTGCCTGTTTGTTGTGAAACCTGGGACCACCTCACAGCTCACTAAAAGTGAATCCACCTGATACACAGCAGGTCTCAGTGCTCTTTACAGCCTCCATTTACCCCATCTGCTATTGCAAGGATGTCATAGGACACAGGCATTTGAGTTCCCAGCATTCCTATTGCAGGTGCAGTTGAGATTTGCAAGCTGCTTGAATTCAGATATTTATTCTGGTGGCTTGCAAGGCTGCTACACTTCAGGCCTCAGGACTATGCTGGGCTTTGAGCCACTACTACTCTGGCAAGCTCAGGTAAGTGTAGACAAAACTACTCTTGCTTTACGGGTGTTTGTGCTCCTGTTACAGAAGGGAAGAGAGGCATCCTTTGGCAAAGCACATACTGTGAGCCTCCTGGCTATAGAGATAACTGTGCTGGAAGATCTCACTGGGCCAGTTCCATATCCCTATCCTTCTGTGAGTCCACCACCAATACAGGACTATTGGTTTTGTCTCTTTGGACAATAGTGTATCAATGTAACTTTTGAACACACAACTAGTGATTCAGGAATGAGAGTTTGTGCCTGGACCTAAGCCAAAATAGTAGGTAGTCTTGAGAAAAAGGCTATTCTGGGCAAAGGCTGTGTTAGCAAGTGGAGGAAGCTTTAGGCAGCCAAAAGAGGTCTAAATGACATCTCTCTTGACTTTCTTTCAGCTTCAAGAAGCAAGAACAGCGGTTCCACTGCCCTCACCTCTTCCATTCTTCCTAACATAGTTGGGGTTTTCATGTGCTTGGCCCACAATGCCTGATTCTCTGGCTGCATCCAGACATATACGCTTGAATTGCAGGCAAGAAGAATTCACAGGAAATCAGTCTCTGGAGTTCCTGTTGTTACAGAAGTTTCAACCCTCCCTTTGCTTTTTGCTGCAGCTCTTCAGCTGAGACTGGAACATTCAGACTGGTTCATCAAAACAGACATTCCCTGGACCCCTTCAGGTAGGAAGGCAGTTATGTATAGCCTTTCTGCAGAGTAGGTCAGTGATACCCTTTACTGTAGGTGGACTTTGGACTCTTTACAGATCTCAATACCTTTATTCTTAGTGGACTCTCTGTGGGATGCAAAAGACAGCATGGTGGTGAAGTCAAGTGGGTAACTGTGCAGCCTTGCATATGTCCTTTGAGTGCAGGGTCCCAGGGGACAGCAAAGTCTACAGCTGCTGCATAGTGGTCTTTACCCTCTGCATGACCTCCTGCACCAAAGCCATAGCTCTCATCTTGACTGTCTGCATTTCACACATCAGGGACAGAAGCATAAAGCTGCCTTGAAACATGAACTTAGCAGCAGAGGATCATGAGAGTTGTCAGGCTTGTCTTCAGCTTTCATGTTCAACTTCAGCACTTCTTCTGAAAAACTCAGGCAGATGTTGTGTTCATAACAGTCCTCTAGTGACTGATGAATACATGCTGGTCATTTCATGCTGAAATGAAGGACAGCTTGTGGACCCCATTGCTGTCTTCATGGGTGTTGGATCACAGAATCACAGAATCATAGAATGTTAGGAGTTGGAAGGGACCTCGAAAGATCATCTAGTCCAACCCCCCATTGGATATGACTGAAATTTATTTACCTGCCTTTCTACTTCACTGGACTGCAATGTCTAATGCTGGAGGTTGAATTGCAATCACAAATTGGAACCGGAACATTTGATTTAGCTACAGATTCTTCTCACTTTTATGTGTTCATTTAGCACTTCTGCAGCCATAGACACGCAAGCCAGAAGCTACAAGTGTGGAAATTATAAGATAATAATTATGGAAATTGTAAGAAACATTTTCTGTCTGCAGTTCCCCTTTCCAACGTGCCTTGCTTGCTGCTTCCCCCCGGTCCCTCACCCCTCAGTGATGCAAGCCCCATTGGGCTGAGGCTATGGTCAGAGAGGTTATCTCACTGGTCCAAGCAGACTAGTCATGGCGATTTAACTTTGCAGTGGAGTCTTCAAATAATCGAACTGAAACTCTCTGACACATTTCACAAATGACCCAAGCTTTCAGTCACTGCTGATCTTGGCAGGAAGCTGGAATTCTGTTTTCACTACCCACTGTCTGAAAGAGTAAGCAACAAGTTAGCTATCCAAAAGAGATCTATCTGAATGTAAGAGGACCGCACAAGTTGCCCATCAGCTAGATAGTCACAAGTAAGGACAGCCAAAGCACCTGTGTGAACTGCTTGGCTCTTGGAGCAGCTCCATATAAGCTTGGTGCTGCCATTCCCTTGGAAATCCTGTGGCAAGGAATGCAGAACTTAGGCATATGAGAAATATTAGCATTAGAAATGTAGGCGCTTAAAGAATTTGCATGTCTTCAGATTTTAGCAGATTAAATGAAGGAATTTAAGGCACAGCATCTTGTGTATCAGATTTAGGTGTCTGTAATGCAGAGGCCATCATCTAATCATTTAAATCCTAGTAACATGTTCTGTGAAACTGAACTACTGCCCCTGAAATCCTGACACATGCTTGCCCAGGCAGCTAAAACAGACTTAATACAGAACTATTTTACTATGAGTTTGTTTTCAATCTTTATTTCTTTCTTGCTGCTCCTGGTTTACCAGTGATTTCAAATAGTAAGTTGTCAGAACTTGGTTTTGACCCCTAAATGCTGAAGATACTAAGCCCAGATTTCAATGCAGAACGAAAAGATTAGAAGCAGCTGCTGTAGATACCTCTTGTATGTGTGTTCAAGCATACTTAAACTTTTTCCTATGTGAGAATCACAGGAATCAAGATGGGTTTCTGACACATCAGCACATTTATGTCTCTTTCTGCTTGTCTGTTATCGCTAGGATGCAGGCTTCAACCATTTTAACAAAAGTTTGGAATCCTTCACAAGGTGGCTTCAGCACCCTGAAAGCCTCCTCTAAGTAGTCAGCTGCTGTTTTCAGGCTTTTCTTTGTGGATCTGTGTCCTTGAAGGGCAGGCTGCAGGAAAACAAGAAATGAAGAGGAGGAGGGTGGAGAGTCCAGCCTGAGCTGTTGTGACATTCCACTCAAGGAGGAGTTGCCTTCTGTGGTACTTGGTCTCTCATTTTGCTGCAGCACCTTCACAATATCAGCATAGTCCATGAGAAGTTCTGATACTTGGAGGGATAAGGCAGGTGAACTCAATAGCTGATGAATAGCAGACTCCACTTTGTCAGGGAAGTTGTTGTGTTTCAACATCACCGCAACGAGTACATCCATGATGCTTTCTACGACGCCCTTGTAATTCTCATGAAGTTCCTTTACTGCAGTGATCGTGTCCTGCAGGGAGGTGACGGGACCAGCAATCTTAGCACATAAACTGTGGCTGATGATTTCCTGTACATCTTTGTCTTTTGTTTCCATGGTGGCTTGCATCTCCTTCAAAGCGCTGACCAGGAGCTGCAGATTCTCTTTAATGCTGAGGTTTTCTTTTACTGGGATGATGGGGAAGTTGGTGCCAAGATGTGTATTAAGGAGTCGGTATATTTTGTTGATTGAAGAGACGTAGATGTACACTAAGTCATGTAGATTCTGGCAGGTCCTGACCAGCCTTTCTTTATCACTCTTAAAACCAAGACAGGCTAACATTTCTGAAGTGGGAGTCTGACTCTGAAAAGCAAACAGAGGAAACCCAGAAGACACAGGGGAATAAAACTGGATATGTTTTCAGCTAGAACGTTACACTTCTGAAACCGATATTACAAATTATCAACCCACCTGACCCGCCCTCCCCTGAAATATTACAGCTAGAAGAAAACACAGAAAAAGCTCTTTGTCAGACTTCGCAGTAGTCTTACCAAGCAGGCCAGCAAAATATGGTGAAACAGCTGCAAGAATTGTTACTGTTATCTGATCTTCAGAGTGCAGTCTGAAAAGCAACAGAAGTGCTGTAAGTGAATTATTCTTGCCTTTTGGTGTTTATTGGTAAATTTATGGAAGTCCTAGCACACAAACTACTTTACATTATCCTTAGAACTATAATCCTTCCGTTTGTATATATTGGTGGGTCTACACAGAATTAAACTCATATTCTGGGGAGGGGGGGATAGACACAGCAAAGTCACCCGCATCAGACATCTATATTCAAAAGGCAAAGCAACTGAGAGCTGAGTAATGCAATGTTTTGTCAGGCTACAATTTCCCATGAAGTGACCCATATCTGTCAGTTCATACAGCAGCTAGATGTTGCAAGCATCCCTTGACAGGTGGAAGCATAAAACATTCTCCTTGCTTAGGCTCCTCTCTTGCTACTGTTGCGACTACTGAGGAAGTTATGCCCTTCTGCTTGCACCTAAGAGTTCTCCCAAGGTCAACTGCAGGTACAGTCCTGGGACAGCACATGCTCCTGATGTTGCCTTTGCTTGTACCAGAGTCCCGGAAAGCCAGACTGGTTGCTGAGGACATGTTTCATCAGCCATTGCTGTGGTTAAATGTGCAGTTAAATGTGTCCAAACAGTTGCAACCTCCCATCCCACTTCATGCTTTTTAAGACTTTTCTCTCAGCACTCAGCTCAACCCTCTGGCTTTTCCTCCTTTCCCTTCCCATGGCAGAAGTGGTCTGAAATTGTGTGAAATGGCTAAATTGATTTTAGCCAATACTGCTGTTCAGCCAGAGCCACACCCTTCTTCCACTCTCATAGCATTCAAAGAAGAGGACCTGGCAAATTGCATCAAAGAAGGGTGACAGGAACTCCAGATAAAGTCCTTCCCTCAAACTTTATATGTCTGAAACAACAGCTGTTAACCTTCCCTAAAGACCCAGAGTAAAGCAGCAACAAAACTGCTTGCTTATTGTTTAAATTATTTTCTGTCATGTCCAGAATGATAGAGATTCTAGAAGAGAAGAATTTGCATCCATTGCAAATCTTGAAGACCTGAAACCTGTTTCCAGCCTATAGAATGCGACATAGAGGCAGTTGCCAGCCTGATCAATTCAATTCAGTCCAATATTGGAAGAAGCATTTCTGGAGTCACAACTAATTGATGGTTGCAGAAATGTAATAGTTAAATCATTTGTGTTCACTCAGCTCATCTCCTCATGCCTACAGCTCTGAAAACAAGGAGAGTTTGGTACTCTAGCTCTGGGCTGAATAAAATAGCTCAGCTTTCAGGGGAAAACAAGCTGCAATTGCTGAGCACTCATTTTATGCTTGATCTTTTACTGTCATCTGAGAACTAAACCATTCTCTACTGGGGAGGCAGCATTCATGACCAGAGCCCACTGGGCAGCAGGTCCATCTTTCTGAGGATCAGAGCATGAAAGATGTCTAGCTTGGATGAAGGCAGAAGTACAAGCTTGTCTTGGTGGGACAGACAAAGCCTGTTTTCACTGTCTGTGGTATCTATTTTTCTATCCATGTGGGACTATTGAACTTCCATAATTAACAGGTGTAGAAACCAGTCATGGCAACAATTCATTATTTTAAGGAATAACTGCAAGCATTAGTGTTTATTGTTTATACTTACAAACAATTTAAATTTATAAATCCCAGCAAAAAAAACCTAATCCTCTATCTGTATGAATAAAAAGTGCTGTCCTACATGTTTTATGTTCTGAGAACAGCAAGTAATACCATCCACTTTCAGTCATGGCTGTAGGTACCTGTGATAGTACCTTTGTCGTAGGTATAGGGATTCATGCTGTACCTATTCTCTCTAGGAACAGAGGATCTAATAATTGGGAACTAGCATTAAATAAACTGAAATCTGTTAAAATTGGAAGGAAGGGGATAGAAGGAAGAAAATTAGATCAATCTGGGTAAACATCACACAATAGAATTAACAACAAGCAGGCAGGCAACAGGACCCAGCTGAAGTCCTGCCTCTGGATCCCTAACTCATCACATGCTGATGGAAACCACCAGAGGAACACAGGGCAAAGAGGATGAAGTCACTGTCCCATACACATTTCAGCTGATTGCAGGAGCACTCTGACAAAATCAGGTAGGCAGTCTAAATCTTTAATTAGGAAAACTTCTGGAGTAGAACTCCCTGGAGCTGGAGAAAGAGTCAGAAATATGGAAATATATGTAGCTCACCTAATTCTAGAAAGCAAATGTGAAAGCTAGCAGAAGTGTTGATTTGAAGAGTAAAAGGTAATTTTAGCATTGAGGCATAAAATCTAGAGCAGTTATAGGAAGCTGAAATAATCATGCACAAAGAATAGATGCTAAAAGTCTCCCCCACACCTGTCTAGTATCTAAAACATTTGTTGAAGTGCTATTCCTCTTAGAACATTATGTCTTCTCAGCTTCTACAAATAAGGAAAAACAAATGACCTTTCAACAAAACATCACTGGAGCGGAAAGGATCTAATATCACACTGAGTCAGAGAGCAAGCCAGCAACATCTCTGAGACAGGACTGATATGAAATCATACCTTGCATTGACATGGCTTTACATTTCCTGAAAATCACAAATCTTTACTCTATATGTACTTTGCTCCCTTCAGCTTGAAGAAAAAGATGCATTAAAGACTTTATTCTCTTGACAGAGCTACAAGGTAAGTGGCTGAAAGAAATGTACAATACTGTGCAAAATATTGTGGAAAAAATTCCGTTGAGACTGGTTTGTATTTTAACACTGAGACTAAAAGTCAGCTAGGGGACTGTTGAAATCATTCTGCTTTTCTACAGTGATCTTCTGGGGGAGGGTGGGTTTATTAAAATACAGCTGGGTCAATGATGATTTGCAGTTAGCAGATAATGCGAGAACTACAAAGTACTAAAATGACATAAAGGTATGTTTTTAAGAAGAAAAATCTAGCTAGTCCCCTACACATAAGTATTTATAGCTATAACTGTGATATGTAGACATCAACAGCAAGAAGAGGTTTATCTTGAAAAAATGCAAAGCACTGTATAAAAGAGGCCCAGATTTGCAATAAATGGGCTAAGAATGCAAAAGTACCAACAAAGAAGTCATAAGTCATCCTACTCACGCACAGGTTGCCCCCATTGCAAAGTAAGATGTATGCATTTAAGTCAAGATCATGCTAAAGCATTTTTACTTTGCAGCTGGAGGTGGGTTAAAGGGAAGTGGCACAGAACTGATTACAGAAGCTTAGCGATCATCACTGGTAACTCAGTCACTTTGGACTCCGTATATTGACTGCAGGTAGTGAAGAAAAATGTATTAAATATGCCCTTTTGCTGGCAAATCAGTGACAGTGTTCAGAGAAGAATGGTGACCAGAAGGATCAGACGCAAGTGTTTGGTGGGGAGGAATCAAAGAAGTTAGATTTTGTGCTCTGGTCTGTACAGTCATAAGGGAGGGCCAGGTTCTGCTCAGTCATGTCCTAGAAGCTTGGTGAGCACCTGCTGATGTTAGCTCTACACAGGACACCCTGGGAGGGAGTGTGGCTGTGCAAGCGGGGCTCTACCTGCAAGCTGCTCTAAGGCAGTCTGCCATCACAGACACCCTGCTGGAGTAGGTGCACCTCATGGTGCTTACACGGCATGCTGAACGTCATGGGGCTGTCTGCAGCTGTCTGATGTTCACGAAGGAAAAAACAATGGGGAATCACAGCATTAGGGAGGTGAATAAACAATGAGGGTACAGGGGCTAAATATCAGGGAAGGAAACACAAGGGGAGAGATGTGTAAGGTTATACAGGTTAAGATGGGTTTATTACAGATAGTTTTACTATTCTCTATGAATTCCCAAGTGTGAGTTTATTACTATAAGCACAGAGTGCTTTTATAGTAACATTTTATCAAGAATATGAGGTGAAATAAGCTACACTGGCTTAAAACACCCTTATGGTGATACAGCCTGTGCCCACTCCACTAGTCATCATAGTTGTTTAAAAATCAGATGCCACTAACTGAAAAAAAACCAGGATGATACAAAAGTGTGTCTAGAACAGGCCTTTCATTTCCACAGCTTATTTTAGATTTTGCTGATTAGATGAGATTGTTCCATTTTTTAGTGAACTAATTCAGCTTCTATTATCTTCAGTTTCCAAGGTGAAGAAAGGCTCATGTTCATTTTACCAATCTGTTAATTACATATTTCTTACATATTTCTGTTGCTCTGAGAATATTCAATGTCTTATAAGGTCCTTTTTCCAATAATTTGGCTAAAAAACCAAAACAAGTATTAATATTTCTACATTTACAAGCTATGCCTGGGGATTTGGCTTGCTGAGTATAACAAGAACCAGTGAGGCAGAGACAAAGGACATTTTACTGCTCTTTAAGGGCTAGGGTTATGGGCATTGAACAGAGCAAGAGATTTCTTTTCTCTCTTGAAGTAGCCTATTTCTGAAGAATGGCGCTGAGTGACCTGCTTTACCCAGATAACCCCAAGAGAAGGCAAGAATTGATCCAGCTACACCAGGAATTGCTCAACTGCATGGCCACAAATTTCCATGCCACAAATGAGCTGGCTGGAGTGCTGAATGAACACTTGGGCTGTACCATTACCCACATTCAGATGAGAGAGAGCAGCACTGTCAAGGAAAACTGTGACATTATCATTCAAGCGATGAGTGAGATTCAGCATCAGGTACAGAAGATTGATAGTGACATGAAGGAAAAGCTAGAGCCTGTGCTGTACCAGAAGCTATATGACATCAAAGAGCCTGAGTTGGAGAAAATTGCAATAGCCCATAAAATTTTTTCCATCATTCTTGGCGAAGCTACTTCAACAGCTGAGATGGTAGCTATCAAACTTCTTGGCTCCAATTTTATAACTCTCACTGTAGGCAAGCTCATCAGTCTCCTTGCACAGATTGGGGCATCTGTTCTCGGGGGAATCAGCATCACCATTCTTGGGCTCGGCATTGAAATGATCCTCCATGCCATCCTGGGAGCTGTGGAGAGGAATCAGCTTCTGACAGCTGTGAAAAGCTATGAGAAGCACCTGGCTGAGTTTAAAGCAGCCTCAGAAAAGTACCAGCATGCTATACGTGAAGTGACTTCTTTGGTGCGACAGCAGGTTCAGTGAATGAAGCTGGAGTTCTCTCTCCTGCTGTGACAGAAACTGCAGCAGCTACGCCTGCAGAAACCTTTTTGATTCATTATGGTAAATGAACTACCAATGGCTTTTTTTCTTACTAGTGGCAGCAGAACAAGAGACGTGACAGATCAGGGAATTGGCACCAAAATATATTAATAGGGAACTGGCTTATAGGTGCTTCTGGGATGCAACGCTTCAAATACTTCGCATCTTTTCTTCAGCTATTTTCTGGAACGCATTGTAGGTAACCTTGAACTGTAATTTGTACTAGTGACAATAATATCCACTGCTGGAGCAGTAGTGGTGAGAAGGTGTGTTTTTTCTCTTACTGTGTTTCTATATCAAAGATGACAACATGATGGGAGAAAACAATTTCAACAAGTCAGTCCATGTCGTCATCTGGAGGGCTCATTGGGACAGCTGTGGTTGGTAAACTCTTAGAGTGGATTAGTGATAAATCTGATAGGCTGAATTCCGTTTTCATTGAACTGCTTACAAGGACTAGCCGAAGCACATTTAACTGCTATTTCCTGTCCCATCCCTGCCTAACGAGCCAGACAGAGATTTTCTTTAAATAAACTCTAATCCCACTAGATTAGCAGGTAAGGGAAGCACGGGCCTACAGGCACACACACACAACCTTGCCCCACAACTGAGAGAAACCAGCTGCAGCGTTCCAGGCATGCCTGGCTGTGAATAACCTCTTATGCTCAGTAATGGCCCACTCCTGCCAATCCACAGGTAAATATTTCTGTGCACAATTGCTGCTTGTTGATTGAAATGGGATTATACACACGTACAAGTGTCTGTAGGATTACAGCCCTATTAATCTACTAAATTTGTTTGCAAGTGCTTTACCCTGTCCCGTCAATGCGGGACTGCCAAGAGTTTGCTCGGATTCTGCATTTCACAATATACTACCAAATGTCCTTATTTTTCAGGTTTTAAAAACAAAGCTGGAAGCAAGAACATGATTTGCAGTCTCTTGCTCTGATTTGCTGTGGTTCGCTTTTTTTGTTTTGATCTTTGAAAAAAAAGAAATAATATAAGAATTAATAAAAACGTACCTAATATTGTAAGGCCTCTCTTTCCTGTACTTTGTTTTTTTTTTCCTGTCTGAAAAAAAAAATCTTAAACCAAATAATGAAAAAAGATTAAAATCTTCATTATAGGTGCAATTTATAAATTCATTTATTATATCCATGATAGACTAATCTAGTAGGATTGTGTACAGGTTCCTTTTTCAGTACGAGCTTCCCCCATACTAAATGCATATCCAAATTCATACATGTTTGTTAATATTCAATATCAGCAACATTCGATTATTATATTAATAACTAAATCGTGCCTTTGACAGTGAAGAGATGGATGAGATTACAACAGGGAAACTCTACATTGGCTTCACCACGCTTCCAGACTGAGTTTTGGGTTTTGTTGTGTTTTGTTTCCCTCACTGTTCCACTTTAATCATGTTTTCTGGCTCCTCTTTGCCTCTGTATTCAAAAGCCACTAGATGGCAATGCAGCCTCTGACTCTCAAGCAGCTCTGCCAGCCGTCAGAAAGCCCAGTGTTCGGGAGCAGGGCGGGGTGCCAGGGACCGACAAGCTGGGACCAGGCCAAGTTGTAGACTGGGCGATGTAGGTCAAGAAAAGCAATTCAGAGGAGGCAAGAAGCACTGCCTTGCTTCACACGAGGTATTGTGGTGGGTGACATGGCGACCTCTGGCATCATTTCTCCAAGATGAGACATCTCCTGTCTCCTGACACAAGTGGCACTCAGTTTGGAGGTACTTGTTTAGAGGCAAAAGGGTGTCAGTCAGCAGAACAGCAATATTTGAATGTCACAGAGGCAAGTGTTCTTGCCTCCTGCTAACTTTTCTCTGTGCAAATTCTAATATAGGAAGAAAAACCTCCAGCTTGGTATGTATCTTTGTGAGATAGCCAATCACTACTATACAAGAATAGCAGGGTCAAATAAAACCAAATCTATTGTACTTTTCAGGCAGTTTGTCCACATTTTCTTGAAAGCAAATTCTAAGCAGTGTCAGAGGAAGTGGGATATGCCATGAGGAACATAAACAGTTTTTATTTACCTCTTGATAGATCCTTGTTCCTGGTGGGCTTAAAGGAAAGCTGGCTTGCCTGCAGCAGCAGGTGTGGCAGGTGGCTTCATGCCCATGAGATGTTGGAAGCTGCTGAGGCTGTTGGAGGCTGGTGGGTGGCAGTCTGGCCCTCTGCTTATGAGGCAGGAGGCTGTGAGGTCACAGAGGCGGGGCCATCAGCCCCAGCCAGCTAGGAGAGCCACCCATGACCTTGTGGAGGGGTATGGCAACATCCAGCCATAACAAGGTGGTATTGAGGTAAAAAATCTGCCAATCAGCTTGGGACCTTCCCAAACTCTTTGCCGCAACTCTAGCAATAAGGAAATTAATGGGCTTTACTTGCATTACCGACAGTTATATACTTGAACTGAGTGCAGCATGCATCTAACCAGCTAGATGCAAGGGAGAGCACCCAGTGGAGCAGAAACAGCTTAGCTCTGTCTCTGCTTGATAACTGAAACTCTGTCCCACGAAATAAGAAATAATTCCTGCTTTCTCTAGCGCCCTGACCAGTTTTGCACTTGGTCCTCCAAAGATGTCATCAGTAGTCTGGGGTTAACCAGTCTGCTGATGCTTCTCCTCTAGACTAGATGGAGCTGCCTCTTGGTGTGAGAGAAGTACCAAGTGAAAAATATAAGAGGACTGTTGTCCTTTGAGTTAGCAGACACTGCTGGGAGAAAGCGGTTAGAGCTGTGGCAGTACCACTGTCCCCACTGAGCCCAGTATTGTCATGACAGAAGACCCCAAGCCCCGTGAAGGACGGACAATCTTCAAAGCCTCAGCTGCCCCCCTCTCCAGTGACACGGTACATGACAGGGATGTGCATGGCCACAGCGTTCCCATCGCACCCCCTCAAGCATTCTCCCTCTGCTCAGTCTGTTGTTCTGGACAAAGGATTAAGAATTAAAACTGTGTAATATGCATGTTTCAAATAAGAACATCCCTAAAGAAGAAGAGAAACTGTAAACCAGCCAAAACCAGCCAAAGCTGCTTTCAAACCTGTGTCGAAACACTGGATGGTTGCAATCAAAATCTGCCCTGTGGCAAATTCTTTCTGACAACAGGAACAATATAAAAGAACAGGCCAAAGAGGCACAAGGTGGGGATGACTCTGCTGTGTACCTGGTGAGCAAGACTCCCTAGGCACTGAGAACTCCTGAAGCCCCAGCTCTGAGGATGCTCCTGGGCTGGCCATTTGCTAACTTGGATTGTGTGCAGTTTGCAACTAATGTTGGTGTTAATGCCATGTGCAGCTTATAGTCTTGCTTTTACCCACCCTGCAGTGCTCCTTCATAAAGTTCCATGTTTGCCAAATAAGTCTCTATTATTTGAAAAACTGTAACAACTTTGTGTTGCGTGTTACCCAGAGCAGGGGGCCTACAAATCCTGCTCAGAGATCAGACCACCTCTGCTCCCAGGTGCATCTGTGCATAGAAAAATGTCCTTCCTACACCTCCCCCCAGCAAATTAATTCTTTAAGCCTGCACCCATACTTTGTTCTTGCCTCCTCCTTATTCACAGTGGTGCAACTGGTATCCAAGGAGATGTTTCATGTACCTTCATTCTGGTTCTTCATGTGTCTGGGGACTTCTGCCAGGAGAGGCACTTTGGGCAACGAGGCAGAACAATTCCTACCAAGTGTTTACCAGCCTCTACAAAACTGATCAGCATTTTACCACAGTGGGGGCTCAAGGGAAAGACAAGTAACAAAGTAGTTTCTGTGGTCCCTGCTGGGACCAAACTAGCTCTCCTGTTCACTTTGCACGGCCTGAGGTGTCTGACGAACGCCATCCAGTCACTTTTCTCCAGTAGTTCCCTGAAAGAGCAGCTGGCACATGAGCCGAACAGAGGGGTGTCGGCCCTGCTCACAGGGGAGCAGGGCTGCCTTCAGGCCAAACTCAACAAGACACATGCAACATCTGAGACTACATGGAACTCCTGCTTCCTCAGCACTTGGCTGTTACTCCCCGCAAACAGAGGCTTCTCACACCCCTCAGCTCTACCTTGTTTCAGGTCAGGGCAGCATTTTATCAGCTCGCCCCAGGAGAGCGTGGGGGAAAGGCAGCTGCAGGGGCCACGCTCACAGGGCTTCTCTTCTGTCCCAGCATAATTCCAGTGAAATAGTTAATATCTCCATCTTCTCCCAAGAATGAAGAGGTATTGTCTGTGTTTATTTAGTATAAATGTAAACTCTTTTGTTCAGGCATCATGTGACAGAATTATGGTTAATATTTGACATAAGCCCAGGACAAGGCATCTTGGCCATCAACCTTATCCATTTAATCAAGGACAAAAGGTCTTTTTTGATGACTTAAAAGAAGATTTGGCAGGAGAAAATGGTCTAAAGTTGTCCTTAGATGACTTGTGACTATATATGGATAAGAGGAGTAAGGGTACTCCCTTAGTAAAGACCACCAGAGGACCCTGAAAAGAGGAAGACAAGGTCCAAGAAGGGGAATCTGGCACAATGACATAATCTACGTAGATGAGAATGAATATATGTATTCAATTTGTTGATGGAGGGTCGCAATCATGACAAACTTATCTACACAGTTGCAGATAAGCAGGCACTTCTTTAGTGCAGCACTGGGAAGCGTGGGGGATAGCTCCACCTGACGTGCTTCAAAGTTGCTTTAAAAATTCAACATTTTTATATACTTTTTCTGCAAAGTCATGCTCTTTAATGTATTTTAACGTAAGCATGCACGTTATACCCACTATTAATTTTGACATTTACAATGATTGGTCCACCCTATTATATGACTTTATTAATATTCCTATACTAATATAATCATTGGTTATTTTACTGATCAAAATCTCTGATTTACAAATTAGGATAGGGAGGATGGGAGAGTCTTCACAGCAACATT